CACGCCAGTGGACTCAATGACAGACCTTATGATATGCTACCCATTCGGCTACCCAACCCCCTATAAGAGAGTATAAGATTACATTTATTTAAAGAAAGAAATTTAAAAAAAATAAACAAATGCAATTATATAAATTTCCTCGTACACAACAATACCATACACCACTAGTATAAGGAAAAATGTATATAATAATAAGAACATCATTTTTTAAAGTGTATTAATACTGGAGACCGGTTTCTAATGTGCTGTTCAGGGTCTTATATTCACAGAATACATGTATTTACACAGAGATCAGGTCTTGTGCCCATATACACGGTACAAAATTGAAAGATATATACCAACCAGTAAATAAAAGTACATATAAGAGAAAAACAAACAGTAATTACCTAAGTAAAATGGTTCGAGTAAAATGAATTAGAAATGAAATGGTCTAATGAAGATGGGCATATACGCCATACAGTGTGCTATAAAGCAAATTTTGCCTGGGCACAGCACTATGGCCTACGTTTATATCAAATTACAACTGCCAAGGGATCTTTTTACATGCACACTAATGTATACACAGGACCTCAACTAGACTGCTGTCCTTGTGCCTTGTCAGCCCTCCGTCTGCACCACTGACAAGGGGAAACCGTCGGAAATGAATTAGAATAAAAAAGTAAAATAAAAACATATAGTAAGCATAAAGTGACAAAATATAATATGAAAATTTGACATGTACAGTACATTCAAGTAAAACATATTTAAAATATGTAATATTAAAAAAACGCTTACAAAAATACATGTATACAGGTGTAGGCCTACTCACATAATTTCATCAATATCATCATCACTATTAAAATCAATGTCGCTGTCAGCATATGTTTGGCTGTCACTTTTATATTCGAACAATATACACAAAACCATACAAGAAAGTTTTCACTTGTAACAAGTACATCTATTACTGATCTGTAAAAGTGAAATGCAGCTTGATTTACATTCACATTGAAAATTTTGTTTGGTGCTTGATCTCTAGTCACCCTAACCCTGTCATTTGTTCAATAGAGTTTAACAGGAGGGGTTTAAATTTCCACAGCTACAGTCAGGCAATCTGGGAGGAATGCGCCAGAATATGCCCCCTTTTTGACTGGTGATGCAAAGGCAGAAATAATTCTTCATACATATTTTTTTCAAAAAAAGTAAGTGCACTTGTACCAACTCATCTATTCCGGTTCTAATTTTCTCCATAACATTGGGGTTGGATGGCCGAATTGTTAGCACGTGCGCACTGTATCATAAAGTCTGTCATTGAGTCAACAGGCGTGGTTTTGAATCCCCGGTTGTACGTGACAAGGAGTAGGGCCGCCTGTCCAACCTCGTGGGTTTTCTCTGGGTCCTCCCACTGTTAAAGACCCCTACGCGCAAGCGAATTATTGAAATAAAAAAATTAAACCATATGTTAGTCCCAAAATGACCTAGTTTGTGTCGAGTGGACGTTAAACCCCATTTCTCTCTCTCCATAACAACTTGTTGGGTATGAGTACTGCACATTGTATTTCACCTCAATAATGATGACAGTCTTAACCATAGTGGTCTTCTGTCTTTGAGTGGACTTCTCTATTGGTCTGAGTGGTCTTGGGCGGAGTAGTCCTTGGTCTGGGTTGTCATGCATTTGGGAGAATATCTTCATCAGCTTGCATTTGCAAGAAAATGGGGAAAATGTTAAGATATGATCCGATCCCCTTAAACAAATTAACCAGACCTATATTCCTGACTGGAGTTCTGATTCAGCTTTGTCCAGCAAATCGGCACTTGTCTCCGGCACATTTCCATCTAATTTGATCCACTGGTTAGCACATACCTTAAATTTTTCCCAGCTTGTCGCAGTGAACAGTTTTAGCTCAGTGTTATAACAAAATGTACTCGAGCTATGCAGTTTTACTTTAGCTATCCTTCCGCCATGTACCGTTAATATCAAAACGTAAACAAAGAGCAGGTGACCTTTCACCACATGACCTGTTGAACTTTTCGTCGTGTATGTTGGATTGGCCAATTATGTCACGTGATCTGTTTAAACCGAGTCACCGCGAACTTCAAATACCATTGCCCATTGACAAGTTAGCCCATATTTAATTTACGTTTTCTATCAAACGTCAAAGAATTGATAAAAGAAAAGTTGTGTGACACTACAAAGTAATACTAGAAGAATTAGATGATGTAGTTTTTTTTCCACCCGAAAATGGTCGGAACGGAGAAACAGAAGCAAGCTAGCTAGAAATTTCAGACCACGGCCTATATTGAATTTCAGCAATTTACAATAATTACTTCTAGAGTTATTGCTCTTGTTTCACTTTGTTAAACCTTGTTTATGCTCAATTGATAATAGTTATCATCCGATATGTATGAAATTTATATGCATCATTTAAATTTGTGAAACCGGTCTATTGAATTTCAGCAATTTCCATCAATAATTTCTAGAGTTATGGCGATTGTGAACATTTGAATGACAAATGTGATCTGTATGAAATTTATATGCATTATTTAAATTAATAAAACGAAAAAGCCTGTCAAATTTCAATAATTTCTGTAGATTACTTCCAGAATTAAGACCCTTGCTTCAGTTTGTAGAACCTTGTAAACCCTCAAACGACAAAATTTATAATCTGATCTGTATGGAACTGTCTTGTAAAGGCCCCCAAAGGAATAAAAATGCGACCGCTCGGATGATTTAGCTCCTGTGGGCGTATGTTTTGTTGCCTGGCAACCTATCTTTGAAACAGTTACCACGCAGATGTACCAGCCTGTCCAGCTATAATTACTCTCTAAGGGAGTGTTGCCGTACCCTTTTCCTGCTTCCAGTAATTACAAAAGAATAAATATGCAACAACCCTTGTTGACCGCTCGGACAATTTAGCTGCAGTGGGCATATGTTTTGTTGCCTGGCAACCTATCTTTTTTTGCATACATACTTTGACCCTACTATATACCCAGTCATCATTTTCCTAGTAATGATGACGTCATGTCAGCTGTGAACTTCTGTCTTAGGGTGGCTGAAGAGAAATTTTTCCTGACTGGAATCCGGACCTTGCAGCATCACTGGAAAATATGTGTACACCTCGAAGGAGACTATGTAGAAAAATAAATGGAAACCATCGACTTTGTACAGATCTTTCACAGATAGGCTTAGAACTTTTCAAATGACAAGATCTTGGTTGCTCTTGATATTTGCGCATATCGGATCGTAACTTCCTGAATAATGTCCCCTGATTGTACGAAAAATCGCTTTTTAAGCTTGTGGTCCCTCTAGAGGTAACAATTATTATCTGATTTTAAAAAAACTGTTCGAATATATCACTTACACTGTAATGTTGGTCGAGTTCGAATTTTTGGAAAACAAAATTGCCGCCCCCACCCCACCCCCCACCCTACGCAAATAGTGTAAACATCTGGTATATCAAGGTTGTGGACCCTCTAGAGGTCACAATTTTGATCTGATTTTGATGAAACTTAAAATGCATGGTTATAACTCAAAGATCTTGGATGCTTTCGATATTATGGCACCTGATTGTACGAAAAATCATGTTAATACGCCCACATTGATATTTGGTCGTATATTGTTGTCGCCTCTGTCCGTCCGGCGTCCACAATTGCTTGTGGAAGCTCAAGTTAATATCTGATTGACTTTAAATTTATACACAGTGTTTAACGTCTTGAGACGAAGAAGCCTTTTGATTTTCAGCGATTTTCGATAATTACTGCCATAGTTATGGCCCATGATCACTTCAAAAAATCTTGTGGACGCTTCAGAGGTCTAAGTTAATATCCGATTGACTTTAAATTTATACACAGTGTTTAAGGTCATGAGACGAAGAACCCTATTGATTTTCAACGATTTTCGATAATTACTGCCAAAGTTATGGCCCTTGATCACTTCAAAAAATCTTGTGGACGCTCTAGAGGTCAAAGTTAATATCCGATTGACTTTAAATTTATACACAGTGTTTAAGGTCATGAGATGAAGATGCCTATTGTTTTTCAGCGATTTCCAATAATTACTGTCAGAGTTATTGCCCTTGATCACTTTGAAAAATCTTGGACGCTCTAGAGGCTAAAGTTAATATCCGATTGCCATTAAATTTATACAGTGTTTAAGGTCATGAGACGAAGAAGCCTATTGATTTCTAGCGATTTCTGATAACTACTGCCAGAGTTATGGTTCTTGATCACTTCAAAAAATCTTGTGGACGCTCTAGAGGCTAAAGTTAATATCCGATTGACTTTAAATTTATAACACGGTGTTTAAGGTCATGAGGCGAACAAGTACATTGATTTTCAATGAATCTTTATAACTTGAACAGCTAAATCCAAGTTAACACGGTGTTTAAGGTCATGAGGCGAACAAGTATATTGATTTTCAATGAATCTTTATGACTTGAACAGCTAAATCCAAGTTAGCATTGGGCTGAACTTTATAAAAACCAAACAAATTCTAATGGTTTTCTGATATTAATGAGTTGTTACTCTTAATCAGATTTTAATGTATTATAAATGTTTCATTACCGAAAAAAGTAAAAATATGAGACAACTCTTTTTGACTGCCCGGACGATATAGCTGCTGTGGGCGTATGTTTCGTTGCTTGGCAATCTATCTTTTTAGCTTGGGGCCCCTCTAAGAGGTCAAAATCTTTATCCGATTTTTAAAAAAATGTTTTAGTATATCACCGTTACACCCTAATGATGGTCACCCCTCGTATGTAAATATATGGTATATCAAGTTTGTGGACCCTCTAGAAATCACAATTTTGGTCCGATTTTGATGAAACTTGAAATATATCTTTATAACTCAAAGACCTTGGTTTCTGTCGATATTCGCTAATATCAGATCGTAACTTCCTGAATTTTGGCCCTTGATTGTTCGAAAAATCGCTTTTTGTTCTCTATCCATCTCTTGCAAAATGTGGGCGTATCCTGCCTGGCAGCCGCTGGTCTTTTTAAATGTTAAAATATTTTTATCATTGCAGACAATTGATTTTAGTTTGTGAACTGTTTTCTCCAGCAGATATAAGTCATCATATTGTACAGGTAGCCATAGCTTTGGCATCGGACAAAGTTTCGGAAGTACGACTTATAGCTTATAGATTGGTTAGTATTGACATAGTTTTTCTGAACTGATTTCCAATATTAAATTATAAAGAATTTAAATATTCTGACATGAGTGTCCCAGGGATTGATTTTTAAGGTCATGAGACGAAAAAGCCCAGCAATTTTTAACGATATCCGATAATTACTGCAAGAGTTATGGTCCTTGATCACTTTGAAAAATCTTGTGGACGCTCTAGAGGCTAAAGTTAATATCCGATTGACAATACATTTATACAGTGTTTAATGTTGTGGGACAAAAAACCCCAGTGATTTTCAAGGATATCCGATAATTACTGCCAGAGTTATGGCCCTTGATCTCTGAGGCTAAAGTTAATATCCAATTGACTTCAGATTTATACACAATGTTTAAGGTCATGAGACGAAGCACAGTGATTTTCAATGAATTTTGATAAATTGAACAGCTAAATCCATGATATTAAGTGTTTGATATATACTAAACAGCAAAAAAACGTCAATACGATTTCAAATTCAGAGAGGCACTTTAATCAAAACATTCTAGAAAATTCATCACAATTCCAAGACATTACGAGAAGGTTTAGAGTCTACAGTCTATACATCAGTATCTGGTGTGTCCACCTGCACAGCGTCAGTACATGGTGTAGACCAGACGATTGATGAACGCCATTGGCACCTGCAACCCCACTCTCAGAAAAGCCTGGCGCAATCCATCGACGTTATTAAGTCTCCTCTGAATTTCATCCCAAAGATGTTCAATTGGGTTTAAGTCTGGACTAAGGGCTGGCCAGTGCATAACGTTGACACCATTCTGCTGTAGAAAATCCCTAGTAACTCTGATGGTGTGGGCACGGGCGTTGTTATGCTGGAAAACATTGTTTCGATGACGTCTGAAATGTGGTATGAATTGGGGTCTGAGAGCTTGATCAATATAGCGCACTCCTGTGATCAGGGCTGTCAGTAATTTTTATACGCCCACATTGAAATCTTGTGGACGCTCTAAAGGCCAAAGTTAATATCAGATTGACTTTAAATTTATACACATTGTTTAAGGTCATGTGACGAAGAATCCTATTGATTTTCAGCGATTTCAGATAATTACTGCCAGAGTTATGGCCCTTGATCACTTTGAAAAATCTTGTGGACGCTCTAGAGGCTAAAGTCAATATCCGATTGACTTTAAATTTATACACAGTGTTTAAGGTAATGAGACGAAGAAGCAGCCTATTGATTTTCAGCGATTTTACGATAAGTACTGCCAGAGTCATGGCCCTTGATCACTTTGAAAAATCTTTTGGACACTCTAAAGGCTAAAGTTAATATCCGATTGACTTTAAATTCATACACAGTGTTTAGAGTCATGAGATGAAGTCTATTGATTTTCAGTGATTTCAGATGATTACTGCCATAGTTATGGCCCATGATCACTTCAAAAAATCTTGTGGACGCTCTAGAGGTCTAAGTTAATATCCGATTGACTTTAAATTTATACACAGTGTTTAAGGTCATGAGACAAAGAAGTCTATTCATTGATTTTCGATAATTACTGTCAGTTATGGCCCTTGATCACTTTGAAAAATCTTGTGACGCTGTAGAGGCTAAAGTTATCATCCGATTGACTTCAGATTGATACAGAGTTTAAGAGCTTGAGACGAACAAGTATATTGATTTTCAATGAATTTTTATGACTTGAACAGCTAAATCCATGATATTAAAACCCAAACAAATTCTAATGGTTTTCTGATAATTACTTCATGAGTGTATTATAAATGTTTCATTACCGAAAGAAGTAAAAATATGCGACAACACTTGTTGACTGCCCGGACGATTTAGCTGCTGTGGGCGTATGTTTCGTTGCCTGGCAACCTATCTTTCACAGTTGATTCGCAGCACTGCTAATCAAAAAGTCCAATTTTGCCAGATTTTATTAGCAAATTTAAAAATTGATTTCCAGTTTTTCAGTTTCATCATAAAACAACCTAAATAACTAAATATTACCATGGACCGTGTATAGATGGACAGGCAACGCCCACGAAGCTTTTAGAATTCTGTGCCGCGGCAAAAGAGAGACCTGACAATCGTGACTAAATTAAATTAGCTCCCCTCGCGCAAATACCTGTATTAAGTTTATAGCAAAGAAACAGAAATCAATTCATAATATTTTTATTAATCTTGCTACTCTTTTTTTTTTTTAAATCCATACATAGATAGACTACTAACTGATGATTGGGGTGTAAATATATCAACACATCGTCTTTGTTTACTTCGGACGCGCCTATGTGAATCCGAAAAAAAAATTTTAATTTTTACTTCTGCACAATTAATCGTCATTCAGGACAGTATTATACCTGAACTTTATTTTCATAACATTAAAATCCTTCATACATACGGGAATTTGGAGTATTAAGCAAAACCAAAATGCTTACAAAACCTACGAAAATATTGCAATCGATCATTTCACAATTTTCAACTGCTGCATTTGGAAATTTCAAAGTTTCAAACTGGACAAATTCGTCACAACTGGATAGGAATAATTATCAGGTTGAAAAATTACCGTGTAACTATAAGAATACCGTAAATTCCAAGGAGGAGTTCGAGAAATTAATCAGTATAAAATCCCGCTTGATTTGACATTGAGATCTCGCCGTGTCTCACGCGAATGGCAGAGAATCCAACAAACGGGACTCGTTGCCTGTCCATCTATACACGGTCCATGATATTACTTTAATTCATTATTAGATTTCATTCTTCAATTTTTTAGCACTGCCACATGTAGTTGTGACAGTTTGTGAATGTGATGTAGACTTTTGGTTAGGTCTTATGTCTGAAGCCAATTCTTTGCAGTGACTTCCGATGCCCCACTCATTTTAATTGTTATTTCTTTGTTACGTTAGAAAACGTTCATTCGGACGCACCTCGATTAACTAGACACACGCTCAATAATATTTTACAGGAATTCTTACTTTGATTGATCATTTTACAATACGTTAACATGTATTTATTTATTATAAAGGTTTTATTTACAAAACGTGCGGGATACACTGGATTTACTGCTTTCAAAATGAATACTTTAAATTGACATGTCTCGCAATGTGAGTGGTACTACTTGATTCCCTATTTCCGGTTTAATAAGTCCCTATTCATAGTTATGTCCCTGTATTATTTAGTATAATGAATTGTGTCTGGGTAGTTCAAGAAGAAAATGTCACACGGAGAATTCAGTTTTGTTTATAAAATTTTATTTGACATTTTATACACGTTGAAAGTGTTGAGAAAGCCTCCTACTGTGTGAACCATCGTAAATTTTAAACGGATTTCTTCGATTATGAACAAACTACTTAACTTTGGTTATTATAAACTTACCTGTGTGTTTGTAATGAACTCCCGTTCGATAAAATCCATTGCACAACTAATTATCACAACGATGAGAACAAGTTCTCTCTTGAAAAATTTGAAAATTTACTTGTAATTTCGACAGTCGATGTCAACAATGTCTTCGTGACGTATTGGTCGAATCCAATATACCTGTTGCAGGGGTTGGTTAACATTGAAAGATAGTTTGACAGCACGATCATTTTGATCGTATATGGGTTTGGGCGACGAAAAATATCAATTGAAGGCAATTACATAGGAGATTTATATGGAAACCATTGTTCGCCAGTCTATCAAATTTTCTTCACAATTGCACGGATACTCGTAAAAATAAAGTCATGTATAAACTATATATATCCTATCTTCTTTATGTTATAAATAATTGTCCCCCGCCTTTCGAAGAAAGCAGGGGACTATTAAAATGGGTTCGTCCGTCTGTCTGTCCGTCCGTCTGTCTGTCCGTCACACTTTTTGGGACACAATAACTCTCTTCCTAATTGAGCTAGAATGTTCAAACTTGGTGTATGTGTTTATTAGGTCAATGCCTTGATGGAGTTCGAAGATGAGCATTTTCCGCTTAGGGTAAGCAGAGATAAGCAATTTGATTGGTTGATGCTTTGGGACACGATAACTCTCTTCCTAATTGGGCTAGAATGTTCAAACTTGGTGTATGTGTTGATTAGGTCAATGCCTTGATGGAGTTCGAAGATGAGCATTTTCCGCTTAGGGTAAGCAGAGATAAGCAATTTGATTGGTTGATGCTTTGGGACACGATAACTTTTAATTGAGCTAGAATGTTCAAACTTGGTGTATGTGTTTATTAGGTCAATGCCTTGATGGAGTTCGAAGATGAGCATTTTCCGCTTAGGGTAAGCAGAGATAAGCAATTTGATTGGTTGATACTTTGGGGCACGATAACTCTCTTCCTAATTGAGCTAGAATGTTCAAACTTGGTGTATGTTGATTAGGTCAATGCCTTGATGGAGTTCGAAGATGAGCATTTTCCGCTTAGGGTAAGCAGAGATAAGCAATTTGATTGGTTGATGCTTTGGGACACGATAACTTTAGTTCTAATTAAGTGAGATTGATGAAACTTGGTGTATAGTTTCATTACAGTAATACCTTGACTAAGTTTGATAATGAGCATTTTCTGCTCAGGGTAAGCAGCAATTTGATTGGTTGATACTTTGGGGCACGATAACTCTCTTCCTAATTGAGCTAGAATGTTCAAACTTGGTGTATGTGTTGATTAGGTCAATGCCTTGATGGAGTTCGAAGATGAGCATTTTCCGCTTAGGGTAAGCAGAGATAAGCAATTTGATTGGTTGATGCTTTGGGACACGATAACTTTAGTTCTAATTAAGTGAGATTGATGAAACTTGGTGTATAGTTTCATTACAGTAATACCTTGACTAAGTTTGATAATGAGCATTTTCTGCTCAGGGTAAGCAGAGCGATACGCAATTTGATTGGTCGAGACTTTGGAAAACAATAACTCTCCTACTTTGATTGTTAGACTATAAGTAAAGATATACTGTTTGATTGTTCAATACTTTGTAAAAGATAATTTGTGATAAATTTATATGTGTCCTCTAATTATTTTCCTATTTCGGCGGGGGACATCAGCCTCACTGTTGGCTTGTTTAACAAGGGTCATGAAGCTTACCTCCGAATTCTCTGAGTGTATTTTTAATTTTATACGCATTCTTTCGATCGAATAATAACAGCTTCAGTAACATATATAATGGTATATAATGCTACTAAGCCCGTATGACCCCGTAAGAAGCGGAACATTAATTCTCGATTCGACAGTTTTGACCGAAGTGTGATAAAGCCCGTAAAACGAATGTATAGTTGTGTTTGTGCGGCATGCGTGTTCAAAAGTAAATAATCCCATCCGAGTCGCTAATCAAATAATTAGAACAAAATATTTCAAAAAGTAAAGCTATAAAATTTGCAGAGATTTTACTAGAATGTAAAAGACAGTAACTAAATACAGGAATGCGGGTAGTTATGTGTGCGAACGCTCAAACTCAATGCCAATTGTCGTAGGTATCCAGACCACTCGGACCAAAGACTACTCGGACTAAGACCAGTCGGACCAATTAAATTATATTATAAGGCTAGACAATATGCTATTTATTTATTATTATATCACAATACAAAGAAGCAAATAATTCTTATACGGAATTCTTATATTTAGAGTTGTTTAGTTCAATTTTGTGTACGGAAAATAAATCAACGATTAGTTTTAAAATTAATTAATAATGGTGCCAAAAAAAATATCAATCTAATTTTTCTTATTTACTCTTGCAATGAGACTCGGTATGTCCAGACTTTTGACAGTTTCTACATATACGGGTATACTGTTCTTGTCTGATAGCCTAATTTTACTTTTTCCACATTCGCGGTATCCCCAGTGGTTTCATTCCGTTCTACCCCACTAACCCCTGGGTTACTATATAGGGGGGGGGGAGACACGTTTTCAAGTTATCCGCCCTTGATGCGTTAATATAAACAGCACATAATAATACGAAGACCGGACGTTTATATGCCCCTTTTTAAACGTGACTACAAGTGTGGTTCTCGATATTTTGCGATTTGGGATACAATTATCAATTTATTCAAACAACACTTTATTATTGGTTCGAGTAATCATATTAAAACAAACGCAATTATCAATTTATTAAAACAACACTTTATTATTGGTCCGAGTCGTCTTTCTGTTGGGTCCGAATAGTCTTTTTGTATGGTCCAAGTAGTCTATTTGTTTGGGCTGAGTGGTCTATCAGTTGGTCCGACTGGTCTTGAACCGAGTGGTCTTTGGTCCGAGTGGTCATGGATTCTTGTCGTAATTGTACTTGAATTTCCTATGCTGTCACCCCTAATACGAAATGATATCTTCCGCAGAGTGACGTAACCATCTTCCATATTGGTATTTTTCTCTGGGAAAAGTTTGTGATATTTCAATTTTATCATCGTTGTGATAATTAATTGTGCAATGGATTTTATCGAACGGGAGTTCATTACAAACACACAGGTAAGTTTATAATAACCAAAGTTAAGTAGTTTGTTCATAATCGAAGAAATCCGTTTAAAATTTACCAAGACTCAGACAGTAGTCTTGAAAATGTGGATAATCTTTGTGTCAATATCCAAAATGGCAGAATGATTCGCAGTTACTGCGAATCAAAAACGTTGAATTTTAATTTTTGATTAGCAATAGACAAAATATTTATCGCAAACTGCGCTGCGATACTGGTTGTCGACAGCCCTGCTTGCGATGCCGCCTCCTCTCCCTGGACCAAGATTTTGTAACACCACAGGACCCACTCTCTGGTTCAGGCCGATTCCACCCCAAACCATTATGCTTGGACCTCCCCATGAGTTTCGTTCCATGAAACATTGGTCAGAATAAAGCTGGCCACGTCGACGCCATATTCTGGTCCTGCATCTGCAGTTGATACGCAATACTGACTCTAAACTGTGAACAGAATCGTTATCCATTGCCTGTGTCGCCAGTTCTAGTGTAGCTGGGCAAAGTGTAGACGTTCACATTGATGGCGAAGGGTGAGGATTGGTCCACGGTAAGGTCTACGGCAATGGATGTTGTCTCTGGTGAGACGTCAGCACACTGTATCGGTACTGATGGGTCTTCCGTGTGTTCCCACTGTCTGACATGCTGTCTCAAATGCCTGTGTGGAGGGATTGCTGAAGCCTGTAGATGGTCCGAACATTGACTTGGAAGTGATTGGCAACGGCTTGGGCAATGTGTCCAGCGTCATGTCTTCCATATGCCTGGTTCCTCTGAGCTGTATGGGGGTTGGATGACCAAATGGTTAGCATGTGCGTGCTTTATCATAAGGCCCGTCATCGAGTCAACTGGCGTGGTTTCAAATCCACAGTTGTACGTGACAAGAAGTATGGTCACCTGTCCAACCTCATGGGTTTTCTCTGGGTCCTCCGGTTTCCTCCCACTGCTAAATTAAACTATGTTAGTCCCGGTGAACAGCACGTGCAGCATGTGTTACATGAAAATCATGGAGAACACATTACCATCTCAAAAGTCAGGTTGCGTGTTTGAGAACATTTCCTGGGTTCAATTTTGTGTTTGGAAAGAAGCCTTATTGCTCAGGTAAGGTTGGAGATGTGGTCACAAATACACAATAAAAGCATTTGGCAAGTTTTATTCAATGCGTCTATTCAGAGTAACATACAAACCTGAAGTTTCTTTTGCTGCATAGTATATTAAACGTTAGCATGGGGCAGAACTAAAAGCCAAACAATTACTAATGATTTTCTGATAAATACTGTTTCATTACCGACAATAGAAAAAATATGCAACAACTCTTGTTGACAGCTCGGACAACTTAGCTGCTGTAGGCATATGTTTCGTTGCCTGCCAACCTATCTTTGGTTTTTATACGCCCACATTGAAATGTGGTCGTATATTGTCGTCGCCGCTGCCGTGGCGTCCACAATTGCTTGTGACACTCTAGAGGCTAAAGTTAATATTTGATTGACTTTAAATTTAGACTCAATATTTAAGGTCATGACCCTTGATCATTGAAAATTTTGTGGACGCTGTAGGCTAAAATTAATATCCAAATGACAGTAAATTTATTCACAGTGTTTAAGGTCATGAGACAAAAATAGCCTATTGATTTTCAACGATTTCCGATAATTACATGACTTTAAATTTATATGCACTGTTTGTTTAAGGTCATGAGAGGAAGAATCCTATTAATTTTCATTGATTAATGATAGTTACTACCTTGATCTCCTTGAAATATCTTGTTGACGCTCTAATGGCTAAAGTTTATATCTGACTTTAGATTGATACAGTGTTTTAGGCCTTATGATTTGCGATAATTACTGCCAGAGTTAAGGCCCTTGATTGCTTTAATATATCTTGTTAATGCTCAAATGGCTAAAGTTGATATCAGATTGACTTTAAATTTATACGCACAGTTGAAGGTCATGAAACGAAGAAGCCTATTGATTTTCAACTATTTTCGATAATTATTGCCATAGTTATAGCCCTTGATCTCTTGAGGCTGAAGTTAATATCTGATGGACTAACTTATACACAGTGTTTAAGGTCGTGAGACAAACAATAGAACTAAATTCAAATGTTTTCTGATAATTACTTCATGGGTTATTATTCCTAATCAAATTTTCATGTGTTGTAAATGTTCTCATTACTGACAAAAGAACAAATATGCGACCACACTTTTTGACTGCCCGGATGACTGCTGTGGGCGTATGTTTTGTTGCCTGGCAATCTATCTTTTTTACAGTTGAGTTTTATTCTACAAAAATTGTATAAAGATGGAGAAGAAAATTTAACATTGTCTTTGGTGAACGATGTTATTGACAAGTTTGCTATGAACAGAAAATGGATTGGTAGGCAGGTGTAAGTACTTTTGATGTATTAATAAGGCTTAATCAACTCTCGAGAACTGTGTGATCAACCTCCTATTGTGCACGTATATTGCCTTCGCCCTGATCTGTTCTTGTGAACACTCTAACGCCAAAAGTTATTGATCATTTTAAAATTGATATGTTTGTTTACATTAGTGAGATGATTGTGGTATCTTTAGTTTTATTATTGCTGTATATTGTTTCCGTATTTGTTATATTTACTATACAGTGAGGTTGGACATGCGCAATAAGGAATAATCAGACATGTGGTTGAACATTCGAGAATATGATATGATGAGAGCCATGCACAAAGCTGTACTTAATATTAATTACTAATACTACTTAATTATATTGTCGTATGCAATAAGTGTTTGAATATTAACCATGTAGAACTGAAGATAAGAATCATTTTATTATAATAAAGACAAACAATACAATATGGCGACGAGGATGATTGAGATTTTCAAGCTATGGTAAATTTTCCTTCAAGACTAATTTTGCTCTTCTGTTACTGTTATTTCTGTCATCGGAAATGAGTATCCCGCTACCGCAAAGTTTTCTTCCGACTCCAGGAAAACCAGTGATTCCTTGGGCACAATTTAGAAGCTCCTTCCAGAATTATTTAATTGCCGTCGATGGGGAAGACTCGCTGATCGAAGAAAACGATCTTTATTACTGCATTGCTTGGGGACACACGGCAAGGCTGTTTATGACTCACTCAACAATGAAGATACAACTTAACGAAAGTTGTCTTGAGGTGTTAGATAATTATTTCGGAGCAAGGTACAATGTTACTGTTGAACGCTGTAGATTTATGTCCCGTGCACAAAAGAATGGCGAAACTATTGATGAATATGTATCAGAACGACGTTGACTTAGTCAAAACTGTGAATATCCTGCTGGGATGATTCGTGATGTACTCATTGAAAAAACGAATAGTAAACCTATAAAGGAACGTTTAATGATGGAAGGCAATGGCTTGACACTTGAGAATGCAATAACAATTGCCAGACAAATCGAACTTGCTACAGTTGAATGTCAATCACTTCTATCAAGGCCGAATAATAATCACATGATGGATAGTGTACAAGAATTAAAGGTACCGGTAATAGAAATTATCGCTCATACAATAATAATGATCGTCAAAGTAATACCTAGTTTTCAAAGCCGCATTACAATAATTTTTATGTGCCAAACAAAATAGAATTTCGACCCAATTACCAATCAGACATGTGGTTGAACATTCGAGAATATGATATGATGAGAGCCATGCACGAAGCTGTACTTAATATTAATTACTAATACTACTTAAGGGGGTGGACAGGAGAAAATTTCAGTTTTTTTAATAATTGAGGTAAAGTTATCATTCTTACACATCTAAGAACACATACATTGAGTATTACAAAAACGGCCGAAAAATTTTCCTGGGGGTACCTGTTGCTCTGGAAACGGCGGCCATCTTGGATTTCTGCATATAATTTTAGTCAACCAGTTTCTCAGAAACTATTCAACAGAATGTTTTGAAATTAAGCAAAGAGGTTACTGACATGTTCCTTTGTGCAATTGGCAAGTTTCATTACAAAATAATAATTAGAAAGCAAGTTATACACATTTTAATGTTAACATCAAAAAGTATTTCAGTAGACCAACTTACACCGATCTGTTCAATTCATTAATTTAATATTAATAAACTGACTTTTAATATATATATTTTCTTACGTATTTCTTATCAATATACAGTATTTTTGTCCCCCGCCTTTCGAAGAAAGCAGGGGACTATTAAAATGGGTTCGTCCGTCTGTCTGTCCGTCACACTTTTTGGGACACAATAACTCTCTTCCTAATTGAGCTAGAATGTTCAAACTTGGTGTATGTGTTTATTAGGTCAATGCCTTGATGGAGTTCGAAGATGAGCATTTTCCGCTTAGGGTAAGCAGAGATAAGCAATTTGATTGGTTGATGCTTTGGGACACGATAACTCTCTTCCTAATTGGGCTAGAATGTTCAAACTTGGTGTATGTGTTGATTAGGTCAATGCCTTGATGGAGTTCGAAGATGAGCATTTTCCGCTTAGGGTAAGCAGAGATAAGCAATTTGATTGGTTGATGCTTTGGGACACAATAACTTTTAATTGAGCTAGAATGTTCAAACTTGGTGTATGTGTTTATTAGGTCAATGCCTTGATGGAGTTCGAAGATGAGCATTTTCCGCTTAGGGTAAGCAGAGATAAGCAATTTGATTGGTTGATACTTTGGGGCACGATAACTCTCTTCCTAATTGAGCTAGAATGTTCAAACTTGGTGTATGTGTTGATTAGGTCAATGCCTTGATGGAGTTCGAAGATGAGCATTTTCCGCTTAGGGTAAGCAGAGATAAGCAATTTGATTAGATGAGCATTTTCCGCTTAGGGTAAGCAGAGATAAGCAATTTGATTGGTTGATACTTTGGGGCACGATAACTCTCTTCCTAATTGAGCTAGAATGTTCAAACTTGGTGTATGTGTTGATTAGGTCAATGCCTTGTTGGTTGATGCTTTAGGACAAGATAACTTTGATAGAGAGTGATGAAACTTAAGTGTATAGTTGATAATCAGTTTGATTGCTTGATACTTTAAAAAAAATAAATGTGCGATAAATTAATGTGTCATCTATTTATTTTGGTATTTTGGCGGGGGACATCAGCCTCACTGTTGGCTTGTCTTATTTTATTTCTTGTGTGTAAATTTACAACCGAACTTTGACATAGGAATAGATGTTATTCAAAACAACCATAACTATAATCACTGACAGTAGGCCTACCTGGTAATGGTATTGCAACCATACCACTACTAGGTCTAGCAGACGAATATTCATCTTCATTTTGTTTATTATCAGGGTTCCCGCGGTCCTTGAAAATCCTTGAATATCCTTAAATTTAAAATTTCATTTTCAAGGTCTTGAATTTCGCGGAAATAGGAAAATATCCTTGAATTTCAGTTGAGATCCTTAATTTTGTTTCAAATGTCTTCAATTCCTTTTAAATATGAGATTATAACGATAGTTGGTAATGTTTTGGTTATTTTTAAGATGAAAAATTGTAACTTTAGGCTAAAAAATGTCCTTGAAAATCCTTGAATTTGACGTATATTTATCCTTGAATATCCTTGAAAAAATGTTTGACGAAGCCGTGGGAACCCTGATTATGAGTGTCTGTCATACTTATTTAGTCATCTAAATAATTTCAAAGGCATTTTATTTGAAAATCTTCAAAAATATTGATAAACAATGACGTATGGTTCAGTAATATCACAGAGTAAAAATACCAGGATTGATATGGGACACGAGCTTAGTGCGCATGCCCATTGACCTGACCTACAGGATTGCCCGCTTCTGATTGGACACTTCACCATTGACCTATGTGACCGACTAATCAAATAACGTATTCTCGAAATAACCTCATTAGGTATGCAAAACTTGTTCTTGCTTGCTATTTTTATCTCCATACAGAGAAAAGGTTTCAAGACACCCCCAAAAAACGTCATTTCCTTTCAATAGGGGAAATCCCAAGCTTTCTGACAGTAACCAACATGGCGACAGTTTACCAGTCGGAAGCCGAGTATTTCACGTACGAAATGCCTATTGTTTTTAGATTTTTATCAATAGTTTTAGCAGAATTAGGGCAAAATGAAAAAAAGGTGGGATCATTCAGAACCAAATTTTGTAGAAATAAAGAAGAATGGTATGTGTTCCTAGATAGTGTTACTCGCAGATAATCATAAAACCTCTAAAACGATTTTATTGTTAAAATTCACCAAATGAAGTGCGAACGACGGCCTTAATTATATTGTCTTATGCAATAAGTGTTTGAATATTAACCATGTAGAACTGAAGAAAAGAATCATTTTTATACGCCCACAATTGCTTGTGGACGCTCTAGAGGCTAAAGTTAATATCCGATTGACTTTAAATTTATATACAGTGTTTAAGGCCATGAAATGAAGAAGCCTATTGATTTTCAGCGATTTCCGATAATTACTGCCAGAGTTATGGCCCTTGATCACTTCAAAAAAATCTTGTGGACGCTCTAGAGGCTAAAGTTAATATCCGATTGACTTTAAATTTATACACAGTGCTTAAGGTCATGAGACGAAACAGCCTATTGATTTTCAGCGATTTACGATAAGTACTGCCAGAGTTATGGCCCTTGATCACTTTAAAAAATCTTTTGGACACTCTAAAGGCTAAAGTTAATATCCGATTGACTTTAAATTTATACACAGTGTTTAGATGAAGTCTTTTCATTTTCAATGATTTTAGATATTTACTGCCAGAGTTATGGCCCTTGATCACTTTGAAAAATCTTGTGGACGCTCTAGAAGCTAAAGTCAATATCCGATTGACTTTAAATTTATACACAGTTAGGGTGACCCATGTACTCACAGAAATACAGTCCACAGCTGATAGTTCGAGACTACCACTGAAGCGTGCACATTCGCCGTGCCGAGACCAACTTACTGACAGTGTGATACTATAAATAGCCATGGCACGTGCAATTCTCTACAAATCTATTAACTATTACAGCCGTAAAAAAAAATTTTGTTGACGATTTTGAATAGCAGTAAAATTAAGCTTCTTGGTTATTACAGCAGATTTAGAAATTACGTTCGTTTCATTTTTTAAATCGCTTTATCATTAACTGTACCGTTAAGAGCGGCATCTTTTGGTTTAGTACAAATAATATCTCTGAATCACTCGGGTTAGACAGGAACATGATACTAGCAGTAGTTTCATTTTACTTTTACAAGCTTCTTAAAACAATTGTTGAGCTACCTAACGTGCTTATTTCTAAATTCAATTTCTTGTTCTAGCTTTCTGTTATGTTTCGTAAAAAAGTAGTCTTGATTATCCCGACCTGTCAATCAGACGTAGAATGGTCGATAGACTGGTTAAGCGACACTTATTTCAAAACAAGGGCACGTAAACCTATCTTTTACTCAAAAGTGTCTGGATGTTATGGACGACTCTTGGAACCGGTTTTCAGTCTATTATTTATACATGATTAATGGTCATAGCTTATTAAGTACAACATGATCGTTTATTTAGTGACTATAATTGTGTGAAACTGATTTGAGGCTTGGCATATATATAAATATTGTGGCGTAATGGTCGAGATATATGGAGATATTTATTTATGGTGGGTCACCCTAACACGGTGCTTAAGGTCATGAGACGATGCAGCCTATTGATTTTCATCGATTTCGTTTCTGGAGCATATCTCATAAACCGTTCAAGATATCTTTCTGAAACTTTGCACACATATCAACCTATTACATTAGTTGTGCCTTTTGCCATTTAGGAATTTCTGGGATTATATTTTTTGTGTTTCCATGGAAACAAATTTGACTTAGTTTTTGGTGTATAATTTTGTTTCCGGAGCATATCTCATAAACCGTTCAAGATATCTTTCTGAAACTTTGCACACACATCAACCTATTACAATAGTTGTGCCTTTTGCTATTTAGGAATTTCTGAGATTTTTTTTTTTTGTGTTTCCATGGAAACAAATATGTCTTAGTTTTTGGTGTATAATTTTGTTTCCGGAGCATATCTCATAAACCGTTCAAGATATCTTTCTGAAACTTTGCTCACACATCAACCTATTACAGTAGTTGTGCCTTTTGCCATTTAGGAATTTCTGGGATTTATATTTTTTGGTGTTTCCATGGAAACAAAAATGACTTAGTTTTTGGTGTACAATTATTTCCGAAGCATATATCATAAACCGTTCAAGATATCTTTCTGAAACTTTGCACACACATCAACCTATTACAGTAGTTGTGCCTTTTGTTATTTAGGAATTTCTGGGATTTATATTTTTTGTGTTTCCATGGAAACAAATTTGACTTAGTTTTTGGTGTGCAATATTGTTTCCGGAGCATCTCATAAATCGTTCAAGATATCTTTCTGAAACTTTGCACACACATCAACCCATTACAGTAGTTGTGCCTTTTGCTACTTAGGAATTTCTGGGATTGATATTTTGTGTGTTTCCATGGAAACAAATTTTACTTAGTTTTTGGTGTACAATTTTGTTTCTGGAGCATATCTCATAAATCGTTCAAGATATTCTCAGAATTGATAATTTTATGTGTTTCCATGGAAACACATTTGACTGTTCAAGATACCTTTAAAATAATTTTACCCATTATTTTATTTTCTGAAATCCAGCCTTCCGTCCTGATTTTGTTTCTGGAGCATATTTTATTATCTGTTCACGAAATCTATTTGAAACTTTGTACAAACATTAACCTATTATAGTATTTTATTTTCTGATGTATAAGTTTATTGTTTAACATACAGCAGCTAATTGAGGTAGGCAAAGGTTGTTGTGCAAACCTTACAGGGAGTAGCGACCCTGCCTTGCCGAGCTACTGTGATCAGAGTATGAAATTCTGTGAATTGATATTCCATGTGTCGGAATATGAGATTTGTCTAAAGCTCCAGTTCCTTCCACTTGCAAAATATCTCTATTTTCTATGTAATCATGTCTAATTTTTAAAACCAGAGCTTAATGTCATAAATTATCTCAAATCTTCTAGTAAATATCAATCAGTCATTTGTTTTCAGAAATAGAGAGCAATATCTACTAAACAGGGCCACAATATTAGGACCAGTGACACTGTTTGCGAAATCTGATACATTTTTATATTGATTACCAATAGCATAAACAAGTTATTTTTCCTTATTTCTTCCAAACAAGTGCAAGGGCGCGGGATGTTGATGACTAGTCATCTTGTTTCACTTTGTTGCACCTTGTAAACGCTCCAACATCAAAAGTTATCTGCCGATCTGTATGAAACTTAGATTAATAATATAAAAAAAATCCTATCGTATTTCAGCAAGTTTCCGGTTATTACATCTAAGAGTTATGGCCCTTGTTTCACTTTGTTGAACCTTGTGAACCTAACGCCAAAAATATATCATCTGATCTTTGTGACACTCTACAGGTCACAATTCTTATCCGATTTTAACGAAACTTGAAATATAGGTGTATCTCCAAAAGATCTCGGCTGCTTTCTATATTGGCATGTATCGGATCGAAACTTCATGGATAATGGCCCCTGTTTGTACAAAAATCACGTTTTAGGCTTGTGGACCCTATAAAGGTCACAATTTTTATCCGATTTTGTTGAATCTTGACATGTAAGTTTATAACCAAAAGATCTCGGTTCCTTTTGATATTCGCGCATATCGGACCGTAACCTCCGGAATTATGGCCCCTGATTGTACGAAAAATCACGTTTTTAGCTTGTGGACCCTATAGAGGTCATTATTTTTATGCGATTTAAAAAAACGTTTGAATATATCACCGTTAACCCTAAGGTTGGTTGAGTTCGAATTCTGTAAAAATAGGACCAAAAAAACTGACAGACAAAATGGCCACCCCTCGTTCACAAATAGCATAAAAGTATAATCAGCTTTTCCACCTACCCTTAATCAACAAATTGAAAAAAATTTGCTCCTCTAAAAAAACCTCTCCTGGTTTCGATAAGAGTGATTTAGAAATTAAGGAGAGTGATTTGATATCAAGGAGAATGATAAGTTGTGTGTATGGGAAATGGTTCTGAAGATCAATAACTGCATGAGGCTAAATTTAATATCCAATTAACTTTAAATTTATACTCCATGTTTAAAGTTTAAGGTAATAATTAAGATGCAGAATGATTTCCGATAATTACTGCCATAGTTATGGCCCTTGGTAACTTGGAAAAATCTTGTGGGCGCTCTAGAGGCTAAATTTAATATCCAATTAACTTCAAATTGATTTTCAACAATATGCGATAATTACTGCCAGAGTTATGGCCCATGATCATTTTAATACGCCCACATTGAAATGTGGTTGTATATTGTCGTCGATCAGTGGACGCTCTAGAGGCTAAAATTAATATCCGATTGATTTTTAATTTATACAGTGTTTAAGGTTATGAGACGAAATTTTCAGCGATTTCTGATAATTACTGCCAGAGTTATGGCCCTTGATCACTTTGAAAAATATTGTGGACTCTCTAGGGTAGGCGACACAAAACGCACACAAACATTGGGCGTGACTCTGTACCAGGGGGTCAGGCATGCACACAAATAGGTAATGGGCGTGGCTCTGCCGCTGTCTCCCCTCGTTCTCAAATAGTGTAAAAGTATAGTATATCAAGGTTGCTATGTATATTACTTGGTTGTTCAGAGAAATCTTTTTAAAACTTTATACAAACATCAAACTATTAAAGTATTTTATTTTCTGATGTATAAGCTTAATGTTTAACATACAGCAGCTGATTGAGGTAGGCAAGGGTTGTTGTGCAATCCTTACAGAGAGTAGCGACTTTGCCTTGCCGTGCTACTATGATCAGAGTATGAATCTTCTGACTAGTCCCATTGATATTCCAAGAAGTTGTTTTTCCTTATGCCTTCCAAACAAGTTCAAGGGCGCGGGATGGTGATGACTAGTCATCTTGTTGTTTTTGGAATTCAGTATTTTTCTACTACCCCATAAATACTTTTGTGGGAATGTATCTTTAATGTGCCATCCATTTATTTTGGGATGTAGCCTTTGGATAGTGTTATTTACAGTAATTTAATGAACTAATCCTACATGTTTCCTTGAGGTTCTGGTAATACTTCTCTGACAAATTCAAAGGTGCAGGACGGGAGAGCTTGACAAGGACAGCTGTCTAGTTGTTCGGATGTACACATTGGTTTACACATAAATGACCCCCCTGTCAGTAGGCCTTAACGCCGCTGTCCGGGCAAAATTTCCCTCGTAGAACACTTTATGCCCGTCTTCATTAACCCAGTCAGAGTAGGACTTTAAATCCCATTTCATTTCTTTTTATCCTGAAGCAACTCAAGTCTACTTCAAAATCATACTAATAAACGGTTGCAAGATTAATTGAAAATTTAGAAAAATAATTATGAATTTTATGAAATAGTTAATGCAAACATTTAAAAGTAATGCTATTAAAAATTGTTTGCTGATTCGTAAGTCCTATATTGGGTCAAAATGTGTAAGCTTATCATACCAACCATGATCATCTTTTTATTCCAGCTTTGCACAAGTATGCCTTTGCATAATGGAAGAAAATTCCATTCCACCACCAATTTTTGCCCGTGATATGCTACCAAGTTTGCTGGCACTAGGAAATGATACAATACCAAATGTTCGGTTAACTCTTGCTAAAGTTCTGTCACAGTGTATTGTGCCTTTAGGTAAGTCAGTGTTAGTATTTATGATTTAATTGTCCCCCCCACCTTAAGTGTCTGTCACACTGTTTACGACACAGTAACTTTCCTTCTAAGCGAACTAGAATGTTCAAACTTGGTGTAGGTGTTTATTAGGCGAATGCCTTGGAGTTCAAAGATGAGCATTTTCTGCTTAGGTTAAGCAAAGATCAGCAATTTGATTGGTTGATGCTTTGGGACTCAATAACTTTAGTTCTCATGAAGTGAGAGTGATTAAACTGGTGTGTAGTTTCATTACATCAGTACCTTGACTAAGTTCAATAAGGAGCATTTTCTGCTCAGGGTAAGCAAAGCGATAAACAATTTGATTGGTCGAGACTCAATCTGATTTAAACACAGATCTTATTTCGTTTCGTATACCATATCAACTTATATATGCATGGAGATTGGAAAAAACAGTAAAATATGACGATACAGCAATATCTAGGGCAGCAGTTTAGGGCGACTCTTCAGAAAGTGATCCTGACATGCTATAAATTATATATATATATATATATATATATAAAAATAACTCAAAACACTTATTTTTGCAAAAGAACATATTCATTACCATTTTTATATGCCCCCAGGGGACTATTAAAATGGGTTCGTCCGTCCATCACACTTTTTGGGACACAATAACTCTCCTTCTAATTGAGTTAGAATGTTCAAACCAGGGGCGTAAAAAAAATTTTGAATCCACTAGCCCAGCCCGGCATTAATATCCACTAGTCCATAGTTTGACAAGGTACAAGATTTAATCTTCAATATTTTGGCATATGTTTTGTTGCCTGCCAACCTATTGTTTTTAATAAAGATCGTAGGCTTGATTGCCTAATAATTTAGGATGTATACGCTACTCGGTTAACCGGTCACAGTTTGGTTGCACTGGTGAAACGATTTAAATAAACTACAATCCGATATTCGTTTTCATATCATATCTGACCTTCAAAACCAGGAATGGTAGCCACAACAATGTTTTCTTTTACTAAAGACCATATAAACACTTCATATAGCACATGTCATTTATAATATATCACGGTAAATTAACGTCCTTTAATTCCCGCTCGAAGATTTGTATATATAACATTATTATTAGCACTTACTGCAAAGCACAAGATAGCCTTGACTGATTGATAAATTAATTGTTTTACCGTATTTATTTACCTGGTCACTCTATAAAGAGTCTCAAAATTAAACAAATCAGTTTGATGTGCTGATATAATATTAAAATAGACAGGATAGTAAAATTGTTTATATTATCACTCGAGTGCCATGCTGCGTGCTGATAGGGTCAAAGTTGACGACAAATACAAAGGTATGCTTTCAAATATTTATGTCAGAACTAATCTAATATAAAGTATAAGTGAGTCTTTTGTTTTTAAATCAACCTGATTTCAACTGGTTTATACATGATCTGTCAAAACGTGCAAGATGAAGAAATGAAATGTCAAGAATGAATGAATAGAAGGGGTACAAAAAATGTCCATACCGCTCTAAGTTTTACTACAGAAAATCTATTGTTATGATTGAGTTTTCCTTGGATTTTGAGAAATAAATGTGGGATGTTTTACAGCTTATTTATCTATATCGTCACTATATAGTTTAATTCACAAACCGGTGAAAGGGCACTAGCCCAGGACTAGTACGGCTAAATAGATCACTAGCCCGTAAGTTATTTTTGGTGGCGTCGGGCTAGTGGATTTTTACAACCCTGGTTCAAACTTGGTGTAGGTGGTCGAAGATGAGCATTTTCTTCTTAGAGTAAGCAGAGATAAATAATTTGATTGGTTGATGCATTGGGACACGATAACTTTGGTTCTAATTAAGTGAGAGTGATGAAATTTGGTGTATAGTTTTATTACATCAGTACCTTGACTAAGTTCGATAATCAGCATTCTCTGCTCAGGGTAAGCTGAGCAATAAGCAATTTGATTGGCTGAGACTTTGGAACTTGAATAACTCTCCTTCGAATTGAGGTAGAATGGTCAAACTTGGTCAAACTTGGTGCATGTGTTTATTAGGTCAATGCCTTGATGGAGTTCGAAGATGAGAATTTTCTGCTTAGGGTAAGCAGAGATAAGCAATTTGATTGGTTGATGCTTTGGGACACGATAACTTAAGTTCTAATTAAGTGAGAGTGATGAAACTTGGTGTATAGTTTCATTACATCAATACCTTGACTAAGTTCGATAATGGGCATTTTCTGCTCAGGGTAAGCAAAGCGAAAAGCAATTTGGTTCGTCAAGACTTTGGAACATAATAATAATCTAATTCAGGTAGAGTGTTCAAAACTTGGTGAAGCTGTTCATTAGATGAATGCCTTGATGGAGTTTGATTATAAACATTTTCTGCTTACTGTAAGCAGAGATAAGCAATCTGATTGGTTGATGCTTCGGGGCACGATAACTTTGGTTTTTATTAAGGCCCAAAAAAAAAAAATGTTATGTTTCCGGTAACCCGACCGACCCATTTTTTTTTTTTAGTGTCAAGGGAAATAAAAAACTTTTTTGTTCAACGAGCCACTGTTCAAAATACTCTTTAAAAGCCTACCGGATTCGTGGGATTCGTGAAAATGGCTTTATTATTTGTTGCTATAAATGGATATAAATGTCGTCGTTCGTTGAACGAAATAAGCGAGTACTGTACAGCGAACGATTATTAAGAACTGTCATACTGTTGACGCGAGATTGCTAACTGGTGAAAATCGAGACTACAGGTTTCGTATAGATTTAACACTGCACATCCTGAAAAGCCATAATCCTCACAACCTTTGTTTTAATAAGTAACGGCACGCAATTTGACAAAAACAAGCTAACATATATTTCAAACAGGTGGATAGGATCTGCTCGATTGGTATTTAAAACAAGACAAATAAATTTATTACGGACCTATTTCGTGGCACAAAATGATTTTTTAAGTTTTCATTGAGAGTTCTTTCCCTTGAACAAAATGGCCTTCCCTACGCTATTTTTTTTTAGCATAGAAAGATTAAAAAATCCATTTGCCCCTCTGATACATTTTAACCAATTATCCAACATTTCCATCCACCAATTTATTCATGCTGCATGTTCCTCGGCGCCGACTCAACCTATACAATAAAATTGAAGATTTTCGCACAGAATATTATGCTACGGTACATCTACTAGATCTAACAATGTAACATTTAAAAAAAAAAAAGAAAAGAAAAAAACTACCTACCGACCCTACCCTATTTTCTATCCGTTACAGGAAACAGAACCCTTTTTTTTTTTTTTGGCCTAAGTGAGAGTGATGAAACTCTGAATATAGATTCATTATATCATTACCTTGACTGTTTGATGATGAGAATTTTCTGTGTAGACTAAGGAGCGATAAGCTATTTGATTGATCAAGACTTTGGAACATAACAACTCTGCTTTTAATTGAGGTAGAATGTGTAAACTAGATGTAGAAGTTCATTAGGTGAATGTCTTGATTGAGTTCAATGATTGACATTTCGAGCTAAAGCTAAGCAATTTCATTGGTCGATGCTTTGGGACAAGATAAATTTGATTCTATCTGATAGAGAGTGATGAAACTTAGTGTATAGTTGATAATCAGTTTGATTGCTTGATACTTTTGAAAAAAATAAATGTGCGAGTTTAATTATTATGTGTCATCTATTTATTTTGGGATTTCGGCGGGGGACATCATTTGAGGTCTAAAGAAAGACCTGCAGTAGGCATATTTCGCTCTTGCATAATGTATGTTTAAGTCTAGATGTAATATTATAATATGCTAGAATGTTGCCAAAAAAAAAAAAGACTGTACAGCTAAGATTAACATTCACAATGGTATTCTAGCATCGCCTCTTCTTCAACATAATTACCAGTTAATTAGTATATGTCATCTATTTATTTTGGGGATTTCGGCAAGGGACATCAGCCTCACTGTTGACTTGTTTTCTTCAAATTTCATGTGAAGCACTGGGACAATGATAGGATGAGCCCTTATGATTTTTCCTTTTCTCCACCCATCACTTGAAAAATATGGGCGTATTTTGCATGGCAACTGTTTCTCAAATGTTTTTAACGATATTTCAGAATTTTTTACTTCCCAATCTAATCCACATCATGAAGATTTAATACAAACATTACAAAGTTTACAGACCGATGCTGATAGGGATGTACGGTATTTTGCTAGCCATCCGAGAGATACAGATGATATATCACATCATGAAACGGTTAGTTAAAATATACAGGACACAATAATAAACAAAAAAGCTGCTAGAACTCTGACAGGTTTTCCCAACACCCTTTACCATTTAACTGATGGCACTTTCCGTTCCAATGAAACCGTTAAAAAATTTCCGTATCAGCATGATAAACATGTTAAACAAGCTAAATTGCTATTCTTTGACACCTAGAAATGGACACAAATGGGTCACAACACATGTAATTTTGTAATATGACTATATAAACTGATTTACATTCAATTGTTTCTGTTTTTATACGCCAACATTGAAATGTGGTCGTATATTGTTTTCGCCCCCGGCCGGCCGGCGTCCACAATTGCTTGTGGACGCTCTATAGGCTAAAGTTAATATCCGATTGACTTTAAATTTATACTCAGTGTTTAAGGTCATGAGATGAAGAATCCTATTGATTTTTCAACGATTTTCGATAAATACTGCCCTTGGTCCTTGATCACTTCAAAAAATTTTGTGGACGCTCTAGAGGTCAAAGTTAATATCCGATTGACTTTAAATTTATACACAGTGTTTAAGGTCATGAGACAGAGAAGCCTATTGATTTTCAGCGATTTCCGATAACTACTGCCAGAGTTATGGCCCTTGATCACTTTGAAAAAATCATGTGGACGCTCTAGAGGCTAAAGTTA